TTGTAGATAAATTAAGTAAAAGAGCAAGATTCTTACCAACTAAAACCACTGTGATAGCTCTAGAAGTGGCACAAGTTTTTTTCTAGAAAATCTTCAAGTATTATGGATTGCCTAAAAGTATTGTATCAGATCATAATCTCAAATTTATAGGCATATTTTGGAAAAAACTCTTTAAGCTAATAGGAACAGAATTGAAAATATCAATATCAAATCATCTCCAAACAGATGAACAAACTGAATAAACTAACTGCACACTGAAAAAAGTCTTATTTGCCTATGTCAATTATAAACAAAATAATTGGGAACAAATTTTAACTATAGCAGAATTTGTATACAACAATACTTACCAAGTATTAATGGGTTTTACTTCTTTTCAGCTAGATTATAGATGTTACCCACTTATATCTGGTAGTATGTTAGTAAAAAGATTACAACCACAAATATAAAGGCTGTTAACGAACTGTACTAGCACTGGTCAACAATATTAAATATAGCTAAGAATATATTAGTAGAAGCACAAGAAAGACAAAAGATATATGCAGATAAAAGAAGATGTTTTTGTGAGCTAAAAGAGAAGGAAGGTGTTAGTATGACAAACCTAACATCACCAGAGAATTTAAAAAGAAGATCAAAGAAGCTCATACCGAAGTATATTGGTCTATTTGAGATTACAGAAGTAATTTCTTCCACCACTTACAGATTACAACTACCTAACATACTGTATATTTATCTAGTATTTCATGTTTCTTGCTTGAAACCTTATTATCACAATGAAATTAAAAGAAAAGCAACTCCACCACTGCTACTTTTGTTAATAGATCTGAATGTGAACGCAGAATATGAGGTTAAAGCCATTCTAAACAAGAGAAGTTATTATCATCAAATACAGTACCTGGTAAAGTGGAAGGGTTATCTTTTACATAATGCTATATGGGAACCTTTTAAAAATCTTGAAAATTGTAGATGGTTGGTCGACAACTTTAAAAAGAAATCAGGTTCATCTTTAAGTAGTGAAGAGTATAGAGAAATAGATTATCTTCAATATAGTTCATGTAACGATTATGACAATTATGATAAATATGATTCATGTAATGATTGTAATGATCAAAATGAATATGATGATTATGATGAATATGATTTGTGTAATGATCGTAATGATCATAATGATCATAACAAATATGACGATCGTGAACTGTAATTAAAGAGATCCTGACTATTGTGTAAGTATTAGGTAATTATATGATAATGGCAAGATCAAGCATAGTTACAAAGCAAATAAGTTAGAGTAGTAGCATTATAAATTGTATTAGTAAAAGCAATATAAATATAAAAGAAAAGAATAAATAAAATACTTACCTTTGCTTCACAATCTTGATATCATATTATATATATATTAC